AACTTTGGAATAGGGAAATCCGCGGGGGATTTAAATATCCCCCGCGGGATTTAAATAAACATGGACGCCGCCTTTTTTCCGGCTTGGGGAAAAGCCGGAAAAGAGCGTCCAGACTGGCGCGATCCTCCGGAATAAAGCCCTTTTCCGGAGGATCTCTTATTCCTACCTGAAGGAACTGTCAACAAAGCCTCTGTCGAAAAAGAGTTCTGGTGACAAAGCAAGCCACTTTTTCGACAGAGTCTAGATGTTCTCTTTTGAAAAAATGCAGTGTGGATGCAATAGCACCTTTTTTCGACATAACTCTGTAGAAAAAAAAGGTGTTATTCTTTGTAGAATGAGGTTTACTGCCGTCGACAAAACTGCTGCATTCTGTCAACTTACTGTCAACAGAACTCGGCGGTAGTGTAGATCCAGGTATAGTTTTGTCGACAAAAGTCCACTTTTGTTGACAAAACCCTGTAGTCTAGACACACCCTGAGAGCCAGGACTAGTGGCTGTAAACAAACTTTATGGGACTATGAGAAAGTTGGCCACACCCATGGCTAACTAAAATCATTCTAGATCATGGATGTTTCTGGATGAGAGAGTTGTGTATTAGAGAAGTTCAACCTGTATAGAATTTCAAATCATTGCTAATATTAATTAACACTATGATTTAAAATCCTCTCTCCTACCTGAGAAATAATGCTTCCAAATAGTAAATAGGTATCAAAATAGTGCTTTTTAAAATTACATTTGTTCAGAACAGGACTAAATTGGTCACACTTATATCCATAGTACATCACTGGTGGGCCCCTATATAAGCACCTAGACACACAAAACAGATTATTGCCTGTATTTTGGGCATAGCATTTGGCTGTGACAACTGTGGAATCTGAGAAATACTGGCAAAGAGCTTCTGTCTGTAAACAGCTAGCTGTATAAATCCAGTGTTTTGCACTTATACTGTATATTTGTCATGAGTTGGACTCAGTTATTATGGCAACAAGTAGCTATTTGTTGAACTGAAGCCAGAAATATTTGAAGAAAAAATTAAATGATTCCTTGGGGACAAAAGCAGCAAAAGCATATCAGCAACAAGCCCCAGGAAGTAGTTTAGAGCAATACCATTATGCCAAACATTTCAGGCCCAATTATATTCTATATATGACTTGCAAACAGCTATGCTCAAGCATGAGCACTGTGACAGTTCTCCACAGGCAACATTTCTACCCTTTCTACAGTGACATTCTGTCTACAACGTGCCAGGATTTACAATAAAAAATGCAGTATGCTTCATGGGAAAAACAAAAACAAAAATAAGGAAGGCTAGGGAAGACAGACAGCTCTTGATTCTGGTAAGATTTCAACGATCTAAGCCATCTTTTAAGTCAATAATCTATAAGGATAAACTGAAGCACAGAAAAATTAAGTGTCATGCCTAAAATCATTGGAACTTAATGTAGGTCCCAGGAATCACAGGAGTCTGAACACCATGCTTCTTCTATAGCCACTATCTCTGTACTTTCACAAATATTAAGTACATTATTTACAGCTGTTTCATTACAAAGAAAATGTGAAGAAATGTAAGAAGAGAGTTGGTTGATGTGTTCAACATTAAAATTGTCAAAAATTCAATGCAAAAAATTAAAATTTATGCAATAATTGTCCATATTGTGTGAAATTTTCTGTAACATTTATTGTAGATATTTTATAGAAATGTTATCAAAACACTTGCAAAGTATTGGCTAATCTGTTAGTGAAGAAAATTGTCTACCATGATTAATAAAAATTGAATAAAAATATTGCCCAAACCAGAAAGTCAGTCCAAAACATCTTCAGAAATATTTGTGAAATTGTTTTGTAATTCAGCTTCTGTTCTTTGATGAAGTTCTTGGATCTAATTCACTCTATGGTATAAATTGGTAACTTTACTTATATCAGTAGAGTTGTACCTTTTTATGTACATAAAACTATGGGCTAAATCTGGATTTATGAGCCACACTTCAATGGGAGAGCCACACAGGGATTTTAATGCAGAATAAGCAGCAGATGTTCACAATGAAGAAAAAATATCTGTGTTACAGATTCCAAAACAACATTATGGAAACTGCTCCATATTAAACCAACAAAACATAAGCCTACACAAAGGTTTTCCTCGACAATTTCATCTTAATTTGTAGCAATCCATCACCTTGCTACCAAATAAGATCTCACTGACATGCTTTATAGTTTAAGTTTCTTTATAAAAGATAATTTAGGGACAAAATAGAAACAAATTTGCATGGTGAAATCCAGTACTTAAATACTTAGCACCTGATTTTCAGGGGTAATAATCAAAGGTTAGTTTTGGGTACCATTAAAAAGCAGGTGTTTAGGTGAGAGTTGGAGAAAGGAAGGCTAATTATTGTGTGTGACTGATATCGTTGAAAACTGCAGATGTAATTAGCACGTAGGCAAAGATGAATGCCAAAATTAGGCATTAGAGAGAAAAGTCACATTAAGCAATGTAAAATCAGTCAAACGTCACAGAAGCATCAGAACAGAGAGAAGATACTGTCCTTGGTCTTTTGTTACTACAAAAAGAGGAACTGTTCCCCATGTTTCCTGTATTGCTTTGGTTGCAGTTCAAGGACAGTCATCAGCTCAACAGTCACAGTCTGAGTCATAGTGAAGCAGAAGAAACCCAGTTTCTGAGTTTTGAGAAACAAAAGGTGTTGCAGAAAATAACCGAAGGGATGAAGTTGAGTTTAAGTTTAGGCCAAAAGAGGGTTTTTTTTCTCTCCACTTCTTCCTTAAACTTCATTTTTTAAATCCTCAGCATGTGTAAATCGGCATAGCTCTACTGAACCAGCAGATCTGGTCCTATTTTATTATATATTTAATATCCTATGATGCATTGCTAAAAAGCCTACATTTTGAACATTTCAGCTAGCTATTCAATGAACACTTGCTTCCTCACTTGCATCAGCTATTTCTATTTTAGCTATCATTCTCAACTTATGTGTCTCTCTTGCTTTTGTGCAGTACGTTTAAAGGCAAATTATACAATTAGGACTAATTAATGGAAGGTGGTTAATAAACTACCTCTTCTTTTAATCATTTGTGCAGATTAATTTATGAAATCACAGAATCTTTTTTATTTTGGAATCTTCCCTAAATTATTCCTGATGTAACCAAACTTTGCCCTAATACCTCTAGATTTTGTTTAAACAACTGACAGAATGACATGTGATGCAAAGTTTCTGTGGCATAGTTTATTGATATGGGCTATTGATTCTTCACAGAGAACAGAGAAACAGTTAATGATTCTTCAAACCATTGGTATTTTACAATGTTGTTTAGTAAGAGTATTCCTGGTTTTTGACTTTGCATCAGGAGCATGATTCTATAACTAAACTTATTTTGGATGACAGCATAATTTCTACATGAACTCTGCAGACATTTTACACCTATTCTATCCGAATTCCTTGCCTTTTAAAAATAAATTCAGCAGTAACAAGAACAGCTTTCAGTTTTACTGAATCCCTTAAAGAAGAATTTTATTTTATTTTATTCTATAGAATCTACTGGAGTCCTGCTCAAGACTCAATGAAGCATGAGTATGACGTAGCCTTACAGAACTAGGTTGATGCAATGCAGCTTACATTGACCTAAGTCTAGGCTAGACACTAATCTAGGGGGAGAGGTAGATACACTGGAGGGCAGGGATAGGGTTCAGAGTGACCTAGACAGATTAGAGGATTGAGTCAAAAGAAATCTGATGAGGTTCAACAAGGGAAATTGTAGAGTCCTGCATTTGGGATGGAAGAATACCAAGCATTGTTATAGGCTGGGACCAATTGGATAAGTAGCAGTTCTTCAGAAAGGACCTGGGGATTACAGTGGATGAGAAGCTGAATATAGTCAACAGTGTTACCCTGTAGCCAAGAAGGCTAATAGCATATTAGGTTGCATTACGAGTATCATTGTCAGCAGATCTAGAGAAGTGATTCTTCCCCTTTATTTGGCTCTGGTGAGGCTACATCTGGAATATTGTGTCCAGTTCTGGGCCACCCACTATAGAAATGTTTGGATGCATTGGAGCGGGACCAGCAGAGGGCAACCAACATGATTAAGGGACTAGAGCACATGACCTATGAGGAGAGGCTGAGGGATTTGGGCTTGTTTAGTTTGCAGAAGAGAAGAGTGAGGGGGGATTTGCTAACAGCTTTCAACTTCCTGAAGGGAGGGTTCCAAAGTGGATGGAGAGAGGATGTTCAAAGTAGTGATGGATGGCAGAACAAGGAGCAATGGTCAAAAGTTACAGTGGGGGAGGTCTAGTTTGGATATTAGGAAAAACTATTTCACTAGGAGGGTGGTGAAGTACTGGAATGGGTTACCTACGGAGGTAGTGGAATCTCCATCCCCAGAGTTAAGTCTATACTGTTTCCCTCCTATGCAAAAGCCTATGCAAATGAAACATGGATTATCATTTTGTGGTGCTTCATTTGCATAATTAATTAGGGGATGTTTTTGCGCAAGAAGCTTTTGCTGAAAAAGGAGCTGTGTAGACGGCTCGTTTTTGTGCAACCACTCCCCCTTGCACAAGAGCCTTTCTTCCTCATTTTTTCAGGAAGAATGGCTCTTGTCCAAACTAGGGTTTTGCACAAAAAGGAGCCATCTACACAGCTCCTTTTTGCACAGAAGACTCTTGCGGAAAAACGGCCCCTAATTAGTTATGGAAATGAAGCATGGCAATATGTTAATCCACGCTTCATTTGCATAGGATATTGCACAAGAAGGAAGCAGCAAAGACGTAGCCTAGAGGTTTTTAAGTCTTGGCTTGACAAAGCCCTGTCTGGTTGATTTAGTTGGGACTAGTCCTGCCTTGGGCAGGGGGCTGGACTTGATGACCTCCTAAGGTCTCTTCCAGCTCTATGATTCTATGATTCTATGAGCATTCTTCTGTTGTGACCTGAATTGTGACACATTGTCAATCTAATTCCATTCAGGTCCTTCTTATTCCCTTCCAAGTATCTTCCAAATCCATATAAAATTTCTCTCAGCAACAAAAATGACTGAAAGTAAAAGGTATGATGATGATGATGATGATTATTGTTGTTGTTGTTTTATAATAGGATAGGTCTTGTTTTAATCTTAGAAGACATGTGATGAAGTACTTCTAAAGCTTCAGTTTTTTAAAAGAAGAAACTCAAAACAAATATCTAGATGAGGGAATATATTTTTTAGATTTAAGTGTTAGCCTCAATTAAAGCACCAAAGTGAAGGATAAACACAGCGCATATTAATGTGTGTCTTTCCTCGTGAAGAAATCAAACTGACAATAACACTAACACAGTAATTTTTCAGGAAAAACAAAAGATTTTCCAGATGAAATGGAGCAAAACAAGTAGTCCTTTAACTAATTCAATTGCCAGCCCCGTTATTTTATTTTTATTTTTTTAAAGGCTAAATATAATTATATTTTAAGGAGTGATTTAGACAGAAATAGAATTTAAAAAAGCCCTCAAGGATATGTATATTAACACCTACATAATGTCTAAAGGCATTTAGAAGCATAGAGAAATAAATGGCCATAAGTCAGTATTTTCCGAAGTGTGGGGCACAATTTTCTGGGGAGCAAAGATCTCTCAATTGTTCTTAACTTATTTTCTCCTCTTCTTAAAAATAAGTTTATCTGTTACACTTACAAAGAAAATCTTTAACATGTGACGTACCTGTAACTGACACAATGACTTCTGAGTTTGTAAATAATAATTATCATGTGTGAACTCCCCCATTCACTCTAATTGGTACTATGTCAGACACCAATGATACTTTAAATGGAGGCAGCATTACTAATTAGTTTATTGTTCATTAAAATATGTCAGAAAGGAGCGGAAAAAAATCACATGCAGTTCTACACAATCCACTATAAAGTTGACATTCTTTTCATACTGCAGGAATGATGAAAAGTGCCTACTTTTATTTTCCTAATAAGTAGATAAAAGAGCCTCAGCTTTTAAAAGTTTGGAAAACACTGCTACAAAGTTATGGACAATTTAATTCTCTACAATTTATGCACTCAGTGGCACATCTTACCTGCACTTCAGAGACTAATTTATGTTTACTTCAGGTAATAATAATAGTGCAATAATAAAAAGGAAGAAAATTAGTCCCAATTCAAATGCAAATTTAGACTTCTTAGATTTCACAACTGATATTTTAACAAACAGACCTCTGAATAAAGCTTTGTACTGGAGCAGCAAGATTATTGATATTACCCTTGTAACTCCCCACACATTCAAAAACAATTTTCCTCCCAGTGCCCAATCTGGGTGAATTAAGCTGTACATCAGCTGAGAATAAGTCAATTCACTGTGCAGATACGTGAATGTGAACTGAGGTTCAAAATAAAGTACAAGAATGCAAACTGAAGTTGAAGTGCCACAGTCATACAAAAATAAATGAAATTATTGACTATGGACGTTGACTGAACTCACTCAACCAGGAGAAAAGATATTGAAGTAGGACGATCATCTCAGTGGAATATTTGCATAGAATGACACCTATAAAGCCATTGCTCACACGTATACCTGTTCAGATGTTTTAAAGAAAACCTACTTGTATTTTACATTCAAAATTAAATAGGCACTGCTCATGTGTAAAGGTGTATCTTAAGAAGGCAAAGTATTTGTAAGGTGACTGGGAACTTTGCCTAGAGCACTTAGAATTAGAAGTTACTAGTGCATTTCTCTAGCAGTGTCCAGAAGAAGGAATTTCTTCACCAATATGATATGTTTTCAATTACTGATGAATTCAATTATTGATTATTCATAGGTCTAGTTCTGGTCAGGCAAGTACCCCAAATTAGGTGGCCTTTGCCAGACTAGTCACAGTTCTTAAATCTGCTTTTCTAGACTGACAATTTCTTGACAGACCAATCTTTCTGTTTTTTCTAATCATGAATACTACAGGGACAGATTGTTTTCAGAATATCTTCTTGTAGTTCAGTCCAGAACCAGAAAATAAACAGATATAAAAATAAAAATGAATATATATACTTAATGAAAAAGATTTTCAGAACTTTTTTGAACTTCAAACAAACTGGTCCAGATTCCATTTGAATCATGCCTCAAGTTCAAATAAACTAATTTATCTGAATTAATTTGCTTATCTATGTTTCATATTTCTATTAACATTTAGTTGCTGCTTTACAGATGTAAATGTCAGAAATGCATTCTTAGTCTACAAAAGTCTACAATTTATTTTCAGATAAATGGGCTGGCAGATGCAGTGTAAGGATTAAAGCTACCCAAAGGCTATTTAGGTAAATCCCAAGAGATACTTTGTTTCTTTGCCATTTCCTTGTAAAATATTGACAGTCAATTATTTAAAGCAAAAACTATTTATTTAAGTTAATGTTAAATTTATCAGTATATAATTTTATCAGCTCCTAACAAGGAAGATCACTAGGTGCAATAATTTGTTCTTCAGCACACATGTTATTTAGACTCACAAAAATCTCTATGTACTAATGTCCTAAAATCCTGAAGAAATTTTGTGTAGCAAGTTTCCTGCAAGTTCCTTCTGTAAAGAATCTATACAAAGTATAATATAACTTGCAATTTAAAAGGCTCTCAAGTATTTAAGGGTATGTCTACACTACAAAGTTAATTCGAACTAACGGAGGTTAGTTCGAATTAACTTTGATAGGTGCTACACTAGTGCTCCGCTAGTTCGAACTTAATTCGAACTAGCGGAGCGCTTAGTTCAAAAGAGGTAAATCTCATTATACAAGGACTAAGCCTAGTTAGAACTTACTAGTTCAAATTAAGGGCTGTGTAGCCCCTTAATTTGAACTAGTGGGAGGCTAGCCCTCCCCAGGTTTCCCTGGTGGCCACTCTGGCCAACACCAGGGAAACTCGTATGCCCCCCTCCCGACTCCGGACCCCTTAAAGGGGCACGGGCTGGCTACGATGCCCGTGCCAGGTGCAAGCCTGCCAGCACCCCAC